CACATCCTAACAATTCTGTGATTAGCACTGCAGCAGTAATCACTTTGTTATTTACGCTCTAACACTAATTAAAATAAGTTTAATGAAGAACTAATGTGCAAACCCAACCAGACCTTAAAAATAACAGGAATGCTAAAGGTGGGATGCTGGTTGTGTGGACTGTCACAAATCTATCAACAGGCTCTGAAGAATTGTAATTTATAAGGTATCTCTTCTTCCCCTCAACACACTTATCGATTTGCACATAATGGCATGCGTGGCTATTTTCCTGACAAGATTTGGCCTACGATGATTTGCAGGCCATTTACCAATTTGGCTAAACATTTGAAGATATGCAAAATATTGTGGAGGGGTCATATGACAATTGATGTAGTGACAGATTGTGGAGGGACAGGAACTAGAGGGGTGAATATTCCTCCATTCTGTTGCTTAATAAAATTAATAAGCAGGGTTTTCTGACATTATATTTCACACCCAGGGAGGAGTGTATTATTGAGTCGTGCGGTAGTTCAGTACCGCAGCATATGTAGGAAAGCTGCCATTATTCATTTCTCAGCAGCAGAGGGAGGGGCGACAGCGAGGACCAGGGGGCTGCCGGGAAGGTGAGTTTTCCCTCTTAAAGGGCTTACCTCGAGCGTCAGCAGCCTTCATTTTTCAGCAGCAGCGGGAGAGGCGACAGCGAGGACCAGAGGGCTGCCGGGAATATATTTGGGCAGCGGCTGAACCTGAGACACTAAACGTGTAGTGTCTCCCACCTGCCCTCCTCCTCTAACCAAAAAAAAAGGACTCTGTGGTGTGTTGGTAAGGTAAGGTTTTTATACTTTTTCTATTTCTTCTGTATCGTGTAATTGGTTAAAAATTTACTTTTTTTTTAAATTTATCTATTAATTGGTTATTTGAAAAGACCATAGCAGAGAAGTATTAGAAAGTATTTAACTCATAAATTGATATAAAGTAATAAAGTAATTAACTAAGTAGAGATGGCTGGGCAGGTGATGTGCTGTAGCTGTATGATGTGGGAGCTGCCTGATCCCATTGTGAATGGCAGTGACCACATCTGCAGCAAGTGTTGGTTGCTGGAAGAACTCCGGCTCAGAGTTGAAGATCTGGAATCTGAGCTTCAAACACTGCGGCACATCCGGGAGGGGGAGAGTTTCAGGAGGCAGTCAAACCTGGTAGATTAAGTAATTCAAATTCAGTTAGTGATCAGGGACAACAGGGTGTGACTGCAAGTGAGGCAGGTAGGGGGATCCTGAGTTCAGGAGTGGAGGAGCCTCAGCTTTTGACCTTATCCAACAGGTACGAGATACTTACTCCCTGTGTGGATGAGGAAAAGGGCTGCGGGGAGGATGAGCCAGCTCACCACGCACCATGGTGCAGAAGGCCATTCAAGAGGGGGGAGCAAAAAGACAAGTGGTAGTTATAAGGTATTCTATAGTTAGGGGGATAGATAGTATCCTTTGCAAGCTGGATCGGGAGTCCCGCATGGTGTGTTGCCTGTCCGGTGCCAGGGTGCAGGACATCTCTGACCGGCTTGAAAGGATATTGGAGCGGGAGGGGGAGGATCCAGTTGTTGTGGTCCACGTTGGGACTAACAACATAGGCAAGGCTAGGATGGAGGACCTGTCTGGGGATTATCAAGCACTAGGAACGAAATTAAGGAACAGGTCCTCGAGGGTCATAATCTCCGGATTACTGCCCGAGCCATGTGCAAATTGGCTTAGGGATAAGAAAATTAGGGAAGTAAACATGTGGCTAAGGGAGTGGTGTGGGAAAGAGGGGTTCCATTTCATGGGGCATTGGCATCAGTTTTGGATCCGGAGGGATCTGTACCGATGGGACGGTCTCCACCTGAACAGATCTGGAACCAGTGTTCTAGCGAAAAGGATAAATAAGGTGGTCACTAGGACTTTAAACTAGTAAGTTAGGGGGAAGGGAAAGGGAAAACGACAGGGAGTATGATGGTAAATAAAAAGGTAAGCAGCAGGTTAGCATGTATGCAGGAGGGTTTAAGTTCAAGGCAGACTATGAAAGAAGCAAAAAGGAAGGATAACTCAGGAGATATTATTAGAGTTGTTGGAAATCATGAGGGTAAGAAAGCTAGCATAAAGGCACTTTACCTGAATGCTCGTAACATTCGTAACAAGGTTGATGAGTTAACGGCACAAATCATCGCGAATGAATATGATTTGGTAGCCATTACGGAGACATGGTTACAGGATGGTCACGACAGGGAGTTAAATATCTTAGGGTACCAGACTATTCGGAAGGACAGACAGGAAGGTAAGGGAGGTGGTGTAGCTCTGATATTCAAGGACGACATCAGGGAGGTGCTGAGAGATGATATAGATTCTATGGAGAATGAGGTTGAATCCATTTGGGTGGAAATTAGAAATTCTAAGAGGAAAAAGTCACTGATAGGCGTAGTCTATAGGCCACCAAATAATTATGGGGGATTTTAATCTACATGTAGATTGGTTGAACCAGCTCGGTCAGGGTAGCCTTGAGGAGGAGTTCGTTGAGTGTATCCGTGATAGTTTTCTTGAACAGTATGTAATGGAACTGACGAGGGAGCAAGCTATCCTAGATCTGGTCTTGTGTAATGAGACAGGAATAATTAATGACCTTATAGTTAGGGATCCTCTTGGAAGGAGTGATCACAGTATGGTTGAATTTAGAATACAGATGGAGAGTGTGAAGATAAAATCCAATACCAGGGTCCTGTGCTTGAACAAGGGGAACTACAATAGAATGAGGGAGGACTTGGCTAAAGTAGACTGGAAACAAAGATTTTATGGTGGGACAGTTGATGAGCAGTGGAGGACTTTCACAGCAATTTTTCAAAGTGCTCAGCAAAAGTATATTCCAGTGAAAAGGAAGGACTGTAAGAAAAGGGGTAATCTGCCATGGGTGTCTAAAGAAATAAGGGAGGCTATCAAATTGAAAGAGAAGGCATACAAAGTGGCCAAAAACAGCATGAAACTAGAAGATTGGGAAAACTTTAAAGGTCAACAGAAAGCCACAAAAAGAGCTATAAAGAAAAGTAAGATAGAACATGAGAAAAAACTAGCACAGAATATAAAGACAGATAGCAAAAGTTTCTATAAATATATAAAACGAAAAAGAATGGCTAAAGTAAACATTGGCCCTTTAGAGGATGAGAAGGGGAATTTAGTTATGAGATATGATGAAATGGCCGAGGCATTGAACAGGTATTTTGTATCGGTCTTCACAGTGGAGGACACTAATAACATGCCAGTAATTGACAAAGAGACGAAGGTAGGTGAGGACCTGGAAACAATCATTATTATGGAAGAGGTAGTGTTGGGCAAGCTAATGGAGCTAAGGATTGATAAGTCTCCTGGCTCTGATGGAATGCATCCCAGGGTACTAAAAGAGATGGCGGGAGAAATAGCAGGTGCACTGGCGGTAATTTTCCAAAATTCGCTGGACTCTGGGGCAGTCCCAGCAGATTGGAAAACAGCAAATGTGACGCCACTGTTTAAAAAGGGAAGTAGACAAAAGGTGGGGAATTATAGACCGGTTAACTTAACCTCTGTAGTGGGGAAGATGCTTGCGTTTATTATCAAGGAAGAAATAGCAAGGCATCTTGATAGAAATTGTCCCGTTGGGCAGATGCAGCATGGGTTCATGAAGGGCAGGTCATGCTTGACAAATCTTTTGGAATTCTATGAAGACATTACGAGCAAGGTGGACAATGGGGACCCAGTGGATGTGGTGTACCTAGATTTCCAAAAGGCCTTCAACAAGGTGCCACACAAGAGGCTACTGCATAAGGATGCGTGGCGTTATGGGTAAAGTATTAGCATGGATAGAGGATTGGTTGACTAACAGGAAGCAAAGAGTGGGGATAAATGAGTGCTATTCTAGCTGGCAGTCAGTGACTAGTGGTGTGCCTCAGGGATCGGTGTTGGGACTGCAATTATTTACAATTTATATAGATAACTTGGAGTTGGGGACCACATGTAGGGTGTCAAAGTTTGCAGATGACACTAAGATGAGTGGCACAGCAAAGTGTGCAGAGGACTGTGAAACTTTGCGGAGGAACATAGATACATTAAGTGAGTGGGCAAAGGTCTGGCAGATGGAATACAATGTAAATAAATGTGAAGTCATATATTTTGGTAGGAGTAATAGTAAAAAGGATTATTACTTGAATGGTAAAAAGTTGCAGTGCATGAATCACAGAAGGTAGGTCTGCAGGTACAACAAGTAATTAGGAAGGCAAATGGAATTTTGTCCTTCATTGCTAAAGGGATTGAGATTAAAAGCAAGAGAGGTTATGTTGCAGCTGTACAAGGTGCTGGTGAGGCCACACCTGGAGTACTGTGTGCCGTTTTGGTCTCCTTACTTGAGAAAGGATGTACTGGCACTGGAGGGGGTGCAAAGGAGGTTCACTAGGTTGATTCCGGAGTTGAGGGGGTTGGCTTATGAGGAGAGACTGAGTAGATTGGGATTATATTCATTGCAATTCAGTAGATTGAGCGGGGATCTTATAGAAACATATAAAATTATGAAGGGAATAGATAAGATAGAAGTGGAGAGGATGTTTCCACTGGCAGGTGAAGCTAGGACAAGAGGGCATAGCCTCAAGATTAGAGGGAGCAGATTTAGGACTGAATTGAGAAGGAACTTCTTCACCCAGAGGGTTGTTAATCTATGGAATTCCTTGCCCAGTGAAGTAGTTGACGCTACTTCAGTAAACGTTTTTAAAGATAAGGTAGATTTTTTTTTGAACAATAAAGGAATTAAGGGATACGGTGAGAATGCGGGTAAGTGGATCTGAGTCCACGAAAAGATCAGCCATGATCTTATTGAATGGCGGAGCAGGCTCGAAGGGCTGGACGGCCTACTCCTGCTCCTAGTTCTTATTAATACAACTGCGGCAAGACTGTTTAGCTTCAGCCCTTCCCACAGGAAATGGCAGCTTATACTTAACCACATTAATCAAACTGCTTTCCTTCTCTCCTCAGACTCACCTCAGGCTCCAACTCCCCTCTACGTTTATAAATTGCCTTCTCTCCTGTCAAGCCGTCGATTATTTTGGTGTCGTCGAGTTCTCCAATAGACTGGTGTCGCAGCCATTGCCTCTCTTTGCCCTTGGCCTGTTAAAGACATGAGGAGTGAGGGGTATTTGGTGAAATTCTGTTCAGTTACACAGCCACACACTTCGTTTGCATTAGAAACATTTTACAAAGTGCTTTGTTTTTATTTATTGGATGATTATATGAATACACAAATGGAAGTTGTTTAAACAAGTCCCAAAATACATTTTCATGTGTTGAAATGTTTGTGGTATCCAAATACAGTCAGAACTGCTAATTGCATAGAATGGAGAACATGGAAATAGGCCACTCAGTCCATCAGATCCGTTCTGGTATTTATACTCTGAGCAAGACTTGATCCTTCAATCTTACTTCATCTTATCTTAGCACATCCTTCTACTCCTGTTTTCTGTCATGTACTCATCTAGCTTCACCTTAAATATATCTACACTATCTACTTTTCACATAGCATTAGCCAAACTGAGAATGGCCAGAGACGCAGCGAGTAAGGGTTATTGTTATATTTGTTTTTGGGAAGTGAGCTTGTCTGGCGAGGTCAGCACTTATTGCCCTTGAGACACCCACACCCTGTGAACAAAACATAAAAAAAAAATTCTAGCAGCTTCCTTCAGAACAGTCAGCATTCACTTCTGCATGAGATGACTACCTGTATTCAATGGAATAAAATTAACTTTAACACAGATTAAAGTAAAAGATCAAGGGCTGAATCTTACATTTTCGGCTAAGTGAGTCGTGCAGTTGTTTTTGGAGGGTTTCTTGCCATGAGGCCTAATGCGTTTTTTTCATCAAATCTTATCAAGCTCACCTTGTTAACTACCTATCATGCCCCATGACACCCCTCAAGTCCAATTATAGCCCCATCTTACCATGCGCCTTGCTACAACTTGCTGCTGCTGAGAAATCCTGGAATTGACCTGAATCCCATACACCAGCGAGATACTGAAAAGGCCATTGTGCACCCAGACAAGCACTATCAGTTCAGAGCTACATTTCAGGGTTCCCGGCATTTCCCCCAGAAATGGCAGACAGTGGTAAATTGCTGCTCCTCTTTGCAGGCAGGCACCCAATAGTCCTGCTGGATAGATTTCTTCAGAGGATTTCCAGGATCTGTTGTGGATAGTCTAACCCAGATCATGCCGGACTGGTCTGAGGTTGCCACCTGGCCATTGCAGTCTCATCGTCTGGAGGAATGCCCAGCATTATAAGAAGAAAGTTAAATGACTTTCTCCAATTCACCAGTGTAAGTGGCGTTGTGGTCAAGCTACAGCACATGGACTGCAGTGGTTCAAGGAGGCAGCTCACCACCACCTTCTTGAGAGCAACTATGGACAGGCATTGAATGCTGATCAGCAAGTGATGCCCACATCCCATGAGTGAATAAATAAAAAAAATGCCACCATATTAAGTCATAGTTTTTCTATCTCTGTTACTGTACCCAACTCCCACTAGGGCACATACTGTATCATTCTCGCCAATGCCTGCAACACCTTCCTCACTCACACCAGCCTCCAACACCACTAACCCTGCGTGCTTTCTGCACTGCCTACTCACTCACTTGGAACCTCCCCATCTGCAGCCACAGTAACAGCTGTCTCACCCACTTTCATCTCCTGTAATACCTGCCTCTCTCTCATTCCAGGAAGAACACAGCCCACAGTCAGACAGAAAGAGACATGGTGGGTAGCGGACTGTCTGTCATTTGGCTCTTCATCTCTAATGAGAAGGTCCTGACTCTGACTGCATCGAGCAGCTGACTGACTGTGTCGAAACCCCTGGACCTGTATCTGACGCTGCCCTGACTTAGTGTGCCAGGAGCCTGTGATTGAAACCTGATTGAGGCCTGCTGATAACCATGACTACCTTCTTGGTTTTGTGCCTGTGCTAAGCAGCAAGGCAAGACAGAAGTATCAGAAGTCTGGTATCTTTGGCTAAAGAGGCAAGGCAATGCAAAAGGAAGGGATGCTGTGACCATCCGGGTAATTTCAGAGGGAGTGAGCACTACGAGAACAGCGAACAGCCTACAGATGCTGCCTGGTCCAGTCCGTGAGCTGACTGTATGTCCCTGAGGGCTCAGTGTCCTTACTGCAGCATTACAATGAGTTGCTGGTGCAGCATTGAAGTGCCAAAGTGAACTGTAAATGGTTGGGAACACAGAGGCTCGCACATGTCGGTTGTCAATGTACATGGTCGTAGGGTACTTGTGACAGCTGCCCTGAGATGTTAGTGTCCAGCGTGCAACACAGACATCCTGCAGAGCAAACAGTGTGCTGAAGTCACTAGGTACCTGTCCCAACTTTCATGTCCAGAATTCTCGAGATACAGCTTGTTTAGTGCACTTAGTAAGATAGGAAGCTGAATATTAATGAGGAGAGTTGCGGTGTTAACCAGTCCTTGTTTAACAAGCTATAACCCCTTAATTGTCAACCCATCATTGCCTAATGCAAAACTCATTGCCATTTGGCAAAACCACAAATGATAGAGTGAGATAGACCTCACTTGACTTCTCATCCAATTCTGCCATAAAGCCTCCCATAACCCATGTCACTCAGACTCCAGTAGGATTACGCCTTAGACCTCCTTTGGCATTGTTAACTGTGAAGTGAAGCCCATGTGAGACAGTGGTTCAATAGGTAGTACTCACCTCCAAATCATCAAGATCTGGGTTCAAATCTCACAACCAAACCCAGGACACAAGGTCTACACTGAAACTCCCAGTACAGTACTGGAGGAGTGCCACACTGTTGGAGATGCGGTCTTAGTCTTCCAGAGGAGACTTCTGAATAAACGATCCAATGGCAATATTTCAAAGCAGAGCACAGAAGTCCTTTAAGTCTAACATTCAAAATAGTGCTTGAAAAGAAAGATTGGCTGGTCATTGCCACGTAATCTTAGACACAGCAAGCTGGCCATTATCACATTGCTGTTTGTGGGATTTTTCTGTGTAGAGGTTGGCAACCGAGTTTCATACTTCACAACAATGATCATGTTTCAAACACACTTCGTTGCTTGTAAAACACTTTGGGGCAGGGTGAAGTTGTGACAGATACTGTGTGGCAGGCAGGAGCAGGCTCAAAATGCTGAATTGCCTACTTCTGCGCCTAGTTCTTGTGTCCTTACATAACTGAAAATTCACATTTTCTTGTTAAGTACCCAAACTTGTCCCTTAAGGCTGAGTGTGCCAGATTTCTAAGGGCAAAATTCTGTTTCAGACTTGTAGCCATCGAATATTTATTTGTAATTCATGGCACAACAAGGTACAGGCTTCATGAGAAGAGATAAAGGAAGTTCACCAGCAGTGCTATTCTGGTGTAGGATGGGAGCTTGGAACTTGGTGAATTGGATTAGTATTTGAATAGTAAGAACAAAAAATGACATGAAGAAAGGTCGGGAAATGGAACTACACATCTCCAGCAAATGAGCTAGTATTGGCACAGGTTCAATGAACAGAGTGGTCTCTTTCTTTGCTGTAAATGGTACAGTGTGGGAAAGAGACTGATCATTTAGATGCTGACAGCCATTAAGCCAAGAGCAGATGTGGAGGGTTACTAGGGGCTATTGTGTTTCAGTTAAAGTGGATTAGCTGGACATATCAGTGTATAATCTGCTCATAACACTGGATAGAAAACGGAACTGAGTGCTGACATTTTACTCGTCTTTGCTCAGAATACAAAGAACACTTGTAACTTGTTGTCATTATCCAGAGATCTTCAATGCCATGGAAACAGTTTAAACTGAGGCGCAGTAACCACAGGCTTGTAACCCAGAGTAACCTCTTGTGTGCAACACTCTCAATGGAAATGGGGCTGCAGCTGACTGCACTCAAGATTACATCACGTGGAGGAGGGGATGCCAATGAAAAAGAATTGCAACTCCCAGGCTTCATAACAGCAGTCCCCTCACAAACTTTCAACAACCTGATTAGGTGCTTTACATTAAAATAATGACAGGTTATCTTGCTTCTGCCGTTAGAAGTTTGTAGTGCATTGTGATGTTTTAAGGCAGGTGGGGGCATGATGGCAAACATTTCAAGAGATGACAGATTCACCGTTAACTGAAGTCCCAGTTGGTGTTTATTTTCCAGCTGCACATGACTGGCTTTCAGTACTGAGCTGGTGGTCGCTCCAGCCTGAAGGCAGCTTCTGTTCGATAATGACTTCTCATCATTGGGGTGTATGAACATCAAGGTCTATCCTACTATTCAGCTCCCAGACTTCAAAACACTCACTTATTAATGGTTACCTCAGTGTAATTATCCAGTCTATGTGTTTAACTGTGTGTTAATAATATGCAGCCATTCAGTAGGCTGTTTTGATCTGATTACTTCTGTGCTTTTATTCATTGACGAGAACATAGGAGTAGGCCATTCAGCCCCTCAAGTTTGCTCTGCCACTCCAGTCCATTCCAATCACTTTGAAAACATGCCTTGCAATTTTGTTTTAAATCAAAGCACTGAAGTATCTTAATAAATATCTTGATCATAATGAGAAACACAAAACAAAATGCCTGACTCTTTTACTCCTTGCTCAGTCTAATGCCTGAATAACAACTGCTGAAAGAAGTAAAGGCTTAGAATATGGCAACTAAAATAAAGGAAACTCCCAAGTTCTTTTAGAAATAGATTAAGGATAAAAGAATAACAAGGGAAAAAGTAGGGTCCATTAAGGATCACAGTGGTAATTTGTGCATGGAGCCAGTGGATATAGATAGGGTTTGAAATGAATACTTTGTGTTGGTGCTCATTAGTGAAAGGGATGATGTGGATATAAATATCAGGGAGAAGGTCTGTGATATACTTAAAAGATGTTTGCATAGACAGACAGGAGGTTCTGAATGGGCTGCTGTGTGGATATTGATCACTTCAGCATCAGAGGAATTGCGGGTGGTGCTGATCACTGCGCGAACATCCCACTTCTGACCTTAAGATAGAAGGAAGGTCATTGATGAAGCAGCTGGAGATGGTTGGGCCTAGGACACTACCCTGAGGAACTCCTGCAGAGATGTCCTGGAGCTGAGATGACTCACTTCCAACAACCACAACC